GTGTGAAAAACAGGGGGCCAACAGTTCCCATGACTGAAGGCCCCAAGCCATGCTTCTCTGAGTATTTCTTTAGAATCATAAGGAAGGTAAATAAAGTAAAATCATAAGGAAGTACAAAACAAAAACAAAGGATAATGGTGAAGTCGTTTACAGATAAGGCCAAGTTCCTCTTTATGCTAATCTCAGGTTGGAGGGATTCAGTTGACACAAACTAAGAACAATGTTGACTCTTAGGGAACACCTTAGTGCCACAAGGTGACCTTCAGCTTGTATTAAGCATCCCTCATTTCCTGATATAGTATTTGGTCTACTATTAGTAAATTTGATATTCGGCTTCCCTCACAACAGAGGGCTCAGAGACCCTTGGGAATATGCCCCCCAGACTCAGTGTCTACCACTCTCCTAACCTAAGATACCTCCGGATTGGAGGTCTGACCCAACGAACCAACCAAAAGTTGCTGAGTTGCTACTGACTTGTGTTTCTGTTGGATGGTTTTAGCTGGGGTAGCGCTAAGGAGCCCCAGTGGCGCAGTAGTCCAGTGTTCGGGTGCATAGAGCGAGCTGTGCTTCAAGGCACCACTTGTGCCTACGTGCTGTGGTGGTCTACGTCCCTACAGAGGACAGCCTTAGATACCCGCTGGGTAGTTCTGCTGTGTCCTGAAGGGTCTCTGGGAGTCAGAATTTACTCAGTGGCAACAGGGTTGGGTTTGAGGACCCCACTCATCAGGCTGTCATGCCAGCTAGGAAGAGGCCAACCTGCATAGTTAAGAGGGTGAAGAGTCCCTGAGTGGTGCAAAAAATGAAGCAGTCAGCTCTTAAACCAAAAGATTTGAGGGTCACATCAACTCAGAGGAACCTTGGAAGAAAATTGGGCTATCTGCTTCCAGCAAGCCAACCACTGAGAACCCAGTGGAGGACAGTCTACCCTGCAGCACGGGGCCACTGTGAGCCCACAAAGGGTACAGATGCTTCAATGTAAAGAATAAATGCTTGTTTACTAGACCAGGGTCTTTAGGCAGCTCTGACCTAGCCTTCTGCCCAGAGGCCCTCCCCGCCTAGTGTCTGGTGGGGACCACTCTAGACCCACAGGCTCCTCAAGCTTGAGAATTTTGAGGTTCAGCCCCAGACCTCTGGTCTCCCTATGGGACTTTGGCAACCCCATGTCATGAGTCCAGTCCATTGTTGCTAAACAGGGCTTCTTCCTGTAAGGCCTGCTGCCCCCACGAACTCGCCCATGCGTGTGTCAGGACAGGAGGCCCTGAATGTGGCACATCAGCAGAGCCACCTGGTCCCTGCCCTGAGAGAAGAAAGGGCATGCTGGGAACCAAGCCTCATTTGCCCTTCACTGTCTCCCTTACTCTGCAGAGCACTGCAGCAGCCCCCAGTCCTGTGATGGGGAGCCTGGCCCCCAGTGATGCCATGGCACCTGGCTTCTTCCAGGTATGTCTGAAAAGTTGGGGCCCCAAGGCCCCTGATCCCTAGTGGACCACTGCAGGAGGAAGTCAAGTACAGAGAGTTCTCAGGCTAAAGTATAACCAAAATGTACTTGGGGTCATGGCGAGAGGGGTTACTGGAGCCCTGGGGCTGCAGAGCCTCCTCCACTTGGGGACCCTCCTCTAAGGGAGCAAGGTGCAGGGCTGCCCACCTGCCCTGCCCACCCGCCCCACTTCCACAGTGGTCTTTCCTTGGCTGTTCTGGCATGGCTGCAGGGCATAGTAGGACTCTGGAGTGATCATGTTCCCCCTGCCCTCCTGGTTCTGTCATCCTAGGGCCCCCCCAGCTCCCAGCCGCCCCCCCACAACCCCAACATCCCTATGATGGGGCCTCATGGCCAGGTAAGAGCGTGTAGCCCCTGTCACACACACAGCCTCCCTTGCCCACTCTGCCTCTTACGTCAAGTGTCCCACGGGTTGTAGAGGGGCTGCCAGGCCTGGGGAACCCTGCAAGGATGAACAGGGTAGCTTCGGGGAAGTTTGGGGGTAGGTGTTGACCCCCCAATCACCTCTTCCAGCCCTTCATGTCACCGCGGTTCCCAGGGGGCCCCCGGCCCACCCTGCGGATGCCAAGTCAGGTGAGAGAGGGATGGGGGGTGGGAGCCCACGGCTGGATGGGCAGGAACACCCCAGACTCATCACTGTCCCACCCCTTCACAGCCTCCAGTTGGGCTCCCTGGCTCCCAGCCCCTCCTCCCTGGTACCATGGACCCCTCCCCACGTGCACAAGGTGAGTAGGTACATAACAGGTGCTGTGCTCAACCCCACCAATCAGAACCTCAGCTCCTGACACACTTCCCAGTACAGAGACAGTGGTCCCAGTCTGAACCCCTTTCTCTCTGACCCCACCCCAGGGCATCCAGGCATTGGAGGCTCAATGCAACGAGTAACACCTCCCAGGGGCATGGCTGGTGTTGGTCCCCAGGTAAGGCTGTCCAAGGTGGAGGACTTACCGAGGGGCCACCTCCCACCTGCCATCCCCCTACTTATGGCCCCTTCACCTTGACAGAGCTACGGAGGCAGCATTCGGCCCCTGCCCAACCCCCTTGCTGGCCCAGGACTGCCCACCCTGAACATGTAAGGCCCCAGGAGCATGTGTGTTCACGTGAGCCACTGCCCAGATTCATGACAGTTGTGCTGGGGTGGGCCTGAGGCCTGGAGATGGCTTTGTCTGTGTGTCGGGTAGGGAAACTGAGGCCCAGAGCTGTAGTCAGCACCCATGGCTGTGAATGGTGAGAGGGGAGTGCTGTGCACCCCCGCCTGGCCCCAGAGTGTACCCACCATTTCTTCTAGGGGCCCAGGAGTTCGGGGACCATGGACCAGCCCCAGTGGCAACTCGGTGAGTCCAAGACTTGGTGGGTGGGCATCTGGGTGCCCCCTAACTGTCAGTGTTCACAGCTCACAGCTGCTCTCTCTCACAGATCCCCTATTCTTCCTCCTCCCCTGGCAGCTACACGGTGAGTGGAGCAACCCTTGATGGGGTGATGGGGCAGAAGGGGGTGCCTTACTTACCTCCCCATCTGTCTTATGTGCAGGGACCGCCTGGAGGAGGTGGGCCCCCTGGAACACCCATCATGGCCAGCCCTGGAGGTAGGGCTGGGCGAGGGGAGGACAGGGCTGGAGGGGCGACCCTTGGGCCTGCATCTCCTCACTGTGCCCACCTCTTCTCCAGACTCCAACTCCAGCGAGAACATGTATACCATCATGAACCCCATGGGGCCAGGCACCGGCAGGGCTAATGTGAGTGGAGGGGCTTGAGCGGGCTACAAGAGTTGGGGTCTGCACTCTTGGGCGCTGCCTGACCCCCACCCTGCCCCCTTGCCCATAGTTCCCGCTTGGCCCTGGCCCCGAGGGTCCTATGGCCGCCATGAGCGCGATGGAGCCGCACCACGTGAACGGATCCCTGGGTGAGCGGGCGATGCGGGACCCCATCATGGCTCGCGTCCCCTGACCATCTGCCCCAGTTCCTAGGCGCTTGCTCTGGGGCCCACGTGGGACTGTGGCAGAGGGCTGTGCACAGTGACACACGCACCCTGCCAAGCTGTGTCCCCTGCCTGGGTCGGATCCCCTCCCAGGCTCTTAGGCCTAGCCCCCTGTCCCTGCGCCCCTGCCCACGTGACCCACCCCAGTCTCCTTGCGTCCGCTCCTGGGCCCGACAGCTGGGGGCGGAGCTTGGGGAAGGATCCGGAGGCTCGGCTTGCGGACGGACATCTGAGCTATGTCCATCTTTCCGTCCTTCTACAGGCTCGGGCGAGATGGACGGGTTGCCGAAGGTGAGGCTGCACCCCTTGTGATGGGCCAGGCGTGCGTGCAAAAGGGGGACTGGGGAGAAGCCTGGTGTGGGCAGGGCATCGCCGAGGGGGCCGGCCTCCGAGGGCGGAGCCGTGCGGGGGCGTCACAGGGCGGGGCCGGGGGCGTGGTGCCGGCTGACCGCAGCCGCCCCCAGAGCTCCCCCGGCGCCGTGGCCGGCCTGAGTAACGCCCCGGGCACCCCGCGGGACGACGGCGAGATGGCGGCCGCCGGGACCTTCCTGCACCCGTTCCCGAGCGAAAGCGTAAGCGACTGCGTCGACTCCCCCCCCGCGGCGGCGTCGGGCCGGAGGGGCCTGGCTGGCAGACCCCGGCGGGGCGGCCGGGGGGCCAGAGCAAGACCGTGACCGCGGCGGGCCAGGTGGGGGGGCGGCCGCGGCACCCCTAATCTCCCCCACCCCTTCCCGCCCAGCCCATCTTCCCATCCCGGGACCCCAGGGTGGCCTCCCCTGCATCTCTGCCTCTTCCCCCTCCCTTCCCCCCGTCCGCCCCATTGTCCCGGGAGGGGGGCGGGTCCCAGCTGAGGCCAGAGCTGAGCCTGCCCGCGCGGGCCCCCTCTCTCCGCAGTATTCACCCGGGATGGCTATGAGCGTGTGATGGGGGCCCTGGCCTCTGCCCAGCCTGACCCTCAAGCCAGGGTCTGGTGCAGAGGTCACAGCTCTGGAGCCTGGTCCCCAGGCAGAGGCCTGATAGGCTCTACAGCCCACACAAAGGACTTCTAATTTTCTAAAATAATCCTCAAGGACCTCAGAGACAAGCTCTCCTGTACTGCCCTTCTGCCGCCGTTTGTATTTTGTGCAGTGGGGGCTTCTTGGAGCCCAGCCTTCCCCCGGATGGCAGGGCGCAGGGTGGGGAATCAATAAATGGAACTTGGTTTTGTGTTTTGGTAGCCGGGTCGCCTGTTTTTTCACTGATATGTGCACAACACCCCTTTCCCCATCTGGAGGACTAGGGGCAGGAGAGGCGCTGTGGGTACTGGGAGCTTCCAGGAAATAGGGCCATAGCTGGGTTTTGGAACATGGAAAACTTCTAAGGATAAGGCCCAAGACAGGAATAGCAAGAGGTTGAGGATGCGGACACCAAAGACCTGTAGGGAGACTTGGTTCTAACAGTGGGGCAGCTTTATTGTCTAAGGTGGGGCTTGGCAGAATGGGGTCCTGCGGCAGCAGGAACAGGAATGGAGAGACGTCAGTAGACTGGAGTCTCAGGTGGTGGTCATCTGAGGGGCCTCAGCCTGCTGATGGCCATTGGCATCACCAGTGCAGCCGTTGGAGGCAGCTGGTGCCGGTCCTTTCTTGCGCAGCCCAGGGCAAGCCCCAGGTCCTGTGCGCTTGAGCACGGAGTCCGGGCGCTCCATTTTGTGCTCCAGCAGCATGTGGGTCTGAGGCGGCAGCCCCAGACACGCCCTGGGGACAGGAGGGGGGTTTCAGTAGGGCCTGAACTTGGACTAGTGGTGTCCTCAGCCTCCAGCCCTGTGTGGATGGAGGAAAGAGGACACAGCGCGTGCACACACCTGAGGATGTTCTCGATGCAACTGCGCTGGCGGAAGAGCGCATTGACTACAGGGCTACCCGGGGGCACGAGCGGAGCCTTGAAGAGGAAAGCGAGCAATGCCAGGACCGAGTGGAAGCCCTGCGGCTCGGGGTCTGCGTCAGTGCTGAAGCTCACGCGCTGGCACAGTTCAGTCAGCAGCACCAGGTCCAGCATGATGGGCGCGGCCAGAAGGGAATCCTAGGGGATGGGCCAGTGAGTGGGCGGGGACACAGGAAGGAGCCCCTCCCCTCCCACTGGGCCCCACTCCAGCACCTCGCAAGTGTTGTGCAACACCAGTGTGTTGGTGCCACCTAACATCAGCTCCGATGTGTACTCATCCAGCGCGCGCTTGCTGTCACCCACGTACGGCACATACTTGATCACCACCTGGGGGGCACAGGAAGTCTCTCTAAGGGGCTCTCTGCAAGCCAGCAAAACCCCTGCTTCCCAGTCCCCAAGTCCCCACGCACACAGTGATCAGGCTCCTCGCCAGGTGCGTAGAGCACTGGATTGCTGAGCACCATGTCGTCCACCACGTTGCTCTTGGAGACCTCCTTGGAGCGGAACTGGGATGGTGCCGACAGGTTCTGCCCATCGTTGTTGCCCAAGTGGTTGTAGCTCACAATGGACATGGTCTGCAGTTGGCAAAGCACCCCATGGTGTTCTCTGGGCCCCATCAGCACTGGGTACCAGCCTTCCCCCTCCCCTCTTAGCCTCGTCCCCACTGCTGCCCCTCAAACCTTGAGGCCGGAGCCGATCAGGAAGTCCACAAGCACCGACTTCACCTTTGTCTGGCCAGTCTTGAAGTCATCCCCACCCACAAAGACACGGTGCTGCGCCGCGAGCTCCAGAGCCCCCGGCACCAATGTGTTCTGTGGGGACCCATTGAGGAAGGCACAGCCCTCCAAGATGCTAGCCACAGCGAAGAGCGTGGACGGGGACACCTCCTCACCCACCTGTGGAGGTGGGCACAGTGGTGGTCAGCAGGGGGAGCTGCAGGCTCCAGTCCCGCTCCTCCCTGCCCCAGCAGGCGACTGGCGACCTCAATGGTTCGAAGTAAGTTCTCAGCTGTATCATTTCGGCCGGGGACCACATCGCAGAAACGCTCAGTGTTCGCCGTCCACAGCACAATGACCTTGTCCAACTCCTTGTTGGACCGGAAGTCTCGGATGTCCTTGCGGATCTGCTCCAGCTGAGGGGAAGGTGGGGGGAAGGTGGGAGGAGAGGCACCCACCCCTTTGGTCTCCCGATACATACATGCAGAGTGGGGGGCATAAAGGATTAGGTGACGATAGGGAATAAAAGGTGATGATGAAGGTAGGGCGCGCAAAAAACCAGGAAGAGTAAAAAGGGGAGGGCGGAAGACAAAGGACAAAGGCCGAACAGAGAGGGGGCAGCACCTGCTGTGCACGCGTGCCCGGGATAAGATTGTCCGCACGCGTGCCTTGGTTGGCTGCGATGAACTCCGGGATGTAGACAGAGGGGCGCGGGCGCAGCGCCTCCATGTGCGGCCACAGCTGCTCCTGCAACCCCCAGTCCAGCACTTGCGCGCGCCGCATCGCCTGGGCCAGGTTCAGCGACGAGATGTCCCAGCCTGAGGATGATCCTCAAGCTCGTCTCCACTAGCTTGGTCCTTTGGGACCAGGCCAGCCGCGCTGCCCTGCCCCCGGCCCCCCGCCCCACGCACCGTCAAACACCAGATCGTCGGGAGACACCATGGGTAACAGCGCGCGGAAGGGCACGTGCACCTCCTGGCCCTCGGCGTCCAGGCCCAGGCTCACAGTGCCCACCTGGGTCAGCGAGCCGTAGTAGTTGGCTTCCTGCGGACAGCAGGCAGGGAGGGCGGTGGGCGTGGGGCGGGACTGAGTGGGCGATAGCCCCGCCCCCGAGCCGGCGCCGACGGCTGAGTGGAGGCCCCGCCCCGCGGAGACCCGCCTCTCATAGACCACTCCCCTCGCGGAGGCCCCTTCCCCTGCGGAGACGCCCCCTCCCCCTCGGTGGAATCTGCTCCCCCCGCGAAGGCCGCGTCCCCGGACGGACCCCCATGGAGCTCCGGCTCTCCTTCCCTGGAATCCACTCCTGCTTTGCGGAGACACCTCCAAACCCCCTCTTATCCCCTATAAAACTCCTTTCCCCCTGTGGATACGTCTTCACCCTGCAGAAACTCCTAAACTCAGTGGGATGATCACCCTTTCCCTGAGAAGTAACTCCTGTGGAATCAGCTCCCTTCCACAAAGGAGTCCCTTTCCCCACGGAGACCTCTCCCTTTGTGGAATCCCCTCCTTGCAGGGCCCCCCACCTTGCGGCCGGTGCGCGTGGGCCAGGAGAGGTGCAGCCGGTTGGCCAGCACGGCGGCGGTCAGCGTGGAGCCGTTGTTGCCGCCCCAGCCGACGAGCATGACCCCCAGGCGGGGCACCTGCCGGGCGGTCCGGAAGATGAAGTGCGTGGATGTGGGGTGTACCTAGGGGGAAAGCACCGTGAGTTTGGGGCGCTTTCGTCCGGCCCTGCCCCCCGTGCCTAGCTGCCGGACCGTTGGGCGGCCCCCCAGGCCACCCACCTTAAGGACACCACCCTCGCGACTGATGCGCGTCGTCCGGTACTCATACTGAGCCTCGATGGCCTCTGGGCTGTAGACCACGTCCGGGCTCTCAACCACAAACTCCATCGCGGCAGGCTGGGGGAGAGGCGGGAAGTCAGCCGAGGACGCGGGCGAGCGGCCTCGGTCCCCGGGCAGGAGGGACGGCGAGATCCGCGGGGTGTACTCACCGGCTCCTAGCAGCGCGGGCAGCGGGCAGAGCGCGGATGCGAGGCGCGCAGGCTCCGGGGGGGAAAAGCACCGCGGCCCCGCCCCCGCCCCCGCCCCGCCCCGCCCCCGGAGGAGGGGGCGTCGCTGTCGCCGGGGGTTCGAGGCGCGTGCGCTACTCGCAGAGAGAACCAAGAAAACGCACTGGGGAGGGGGTGTAGCCAGACCCGGAAATCGGGCCTGTGGTGAAGAGTGGGAGCTCCAGGTCCTGGATCTGAAGAGGGAAACTGAGGCAGCAAGCGGGATGAAAGAGCAGAGGGACAAACCGTAACTGGGATCCCGTGTCAGCTCTTTCCAGGCCCCGGCTGCCTCATCCCTCTTACTCACACGCCGCAGAGCCCACCGCACGCTCTCCCCCTTGCCTTCCTCAAGGCTTCCCATGGCTTCGCCAAAAGAAAATATTTGGATGGGCCTGAAAGGGGACAAAGGGAACAAGACGATCACTCTAGCAGGGGTGAGGGGAGTCCATCCTGGAGAGCGCAAAGGCCCAGTATCTGCGGGAAAATTCGAGGCTCAGGGAGGCCGTTTTCTCTTGACACCTAAAAGGGACTGGAGAATGGAGATGTGGAAGGTTTTCCAATGCAGGCTCCAGAGGGAAGGCCTGAGGAGGGAGGTCGTTGGGCAGAGATGGTGGCCTGATCACCTTGATTCAGACAGACAGCTCTTTGCTGAGGTCGGCCATCCTGACAGGGGTTCGCCTGAAGGAGGGATAGATAGTCTTAAAGAATAAAGTTTAGGGGTTGGAGAAGGAGAATTAGGAGATGTGTCTGCCAGATTGGGAGGGGGGAGGCGGGGGAAGAACCAGCCCTTTGGTTACTGCTGAGGTCAAGAAAGGGGATTTGTAGGGCCTGGGTCTGGCCTGATCTTGGGTAAACAAGGGGGCATCTGCGAGGCTTATCTCAGTCACGTGAGGCATCTGGTTCTCTGCAGTAAGCCCGTTTCCAGGACACAAAGGGTGGGAAGTTTCTCAGGGATCAGATAAAAATTCAGCATTGTCAACCTCAGGGTTTGCAGGACTGTTAAGTCATCTGCCTTGACAAGGTTTAGATGGTAGTGTGGTGATGCTTATGTGGCCTCTATTTCCCCACTTGCAGCAAGACTGGCAGAAGGTGGACTAAGATGGGGGTTAAGGGACAGGCGGGCAGCAGAGGCCAGCAGGCGGTAGGGAGGAGCAAGGCCAGCCCAGCTGCGCCCCCCTCATGCCGGGCAGGCGATAAGGGAGCGTGGGAACCCAGCGGGAAGCCTTGGGGCAGGCGGCTCCCCCAGGAACTTTCCAAAACAAGCGGCCGGAGGAGGCCGGAAAGTTTCCACGACTGGAGCTGACCCAAAAGGTGGATAGTTGGGAATGTTTGCAGGAAACGAGTGTGGTTGAGGTTTGGCCTTGGGGGAAGAGGGTTCCAAGGCCCTGAGTCCAGGCCTAGACCCTAAAAAGAGTCCCTTCTGGGAGTAGGAAAGGCCAGAAGGAGATTCAGTCACTCCAATCCAAAGACAGGGACCAGAGGTAGGGTCAGAGCACCTGGGGAGGGCTGGGAAGGCTTCCCTTCCTCTCGGAGGGGGTACTCAAAAGCGTTTTGAAGTACGAAGAGGAGTTTACACACAATCTAAGTAGAACTGTACGGGCCTTAGGACGTGGGACAGGAAGGAGAACTTGAGGCCACATGTGATGTCAAAGGAGCACGTACAAAAAAAGATACAGGCCCAGGATCCAGTCCAGAGGACTCTTCCATAAGAGATGGGACTAGCCAGGCTGCTCCCTTGTAAGAGTCTTAAAACTTTGGGTGAGGGATAGCATCACAAGATTATGTCTGTTCCTTCCAGTCACTTGACACTGTAAGGTGACCCACAAGGTCGGACACAGACCTGGAGTCCAGGAGACTTGCCTCTGGAAAGGTCAGGGCCTCTCTAGGAAAGCAGGCTTGGTGGATAGTACACAGCTAGGCCCTTCTTTGTTCTCATGGCATATGGGGTCATCAGGCTCATTTCAGTACCATTGAGGGCAGGTGGGGCTGTCCAGTCCCTGCTGTGCCCCAAAGCCAGGCAGAATAATAGCACAATGTTGTACAGCAAGGGGTAGAGCTGGGCCCAGAAAGCCCCTTGAGGCCCAGAGAGTTGGAGGACATATGTGGCTGCAGTGTGTGTGTGGTGGTGGTGGTGGTGGTGGTGGGGAGTTAGCACTGACTGCTGAGAAGGGCAATGGGAGCCTGGGGGAGGTGGTGGGAGGGCAGGGGCAACGAGGTCTAGGATGAGACATGGGGCCTGAGGACAAAGACGTTATCAGCAGGATTTGTACACGCTGCCCCACAGCCTCTGGCTGCAACCCCCGCGCCTCTGACTCCAGGCAGCCTCAGAACTGGAGCCAAGGCCATGGTAAGCAGGCTGCCCACTGATTCCCAGAGCCACGTGACTGAAAAGTGCTGGGGCCTTTATCCTAGCTGATTCGTGTTTTTCCTTCATAAAGTCAACTCCAATATCCCCATGATCCTGAGCAGGCAGGGCTGGCCTTCATGTCTTCAAACTCCCCTGGGGCACCTCACCTGGAATGGGAAGTGGGGGCACACACCCTTCTTTGACGCTCAATAATGCCTGGGCTTGGGAGGCTCTCTGGGCCTCAGGGCCCTCATCAGAGGTATGGGGCCACCCCCACCCCAAAAGGTAGGAAAGAATAATGTCAGCAGCCAGGCCACTTTTATCAGAGAACGACTGTGCCCCAGTCCTATTCTCTATGGCTCCTTTTTGCCACAAGGACGGACTCCAAGCCACCATTCGTGTGGCCCACTGCCACCACTGCCTTCCAAGTGTCACCGAAACCTGCCCCAACTGCCCAGACACCACACAGGCTGGAGGCCCAGGCCACAGTTTAGTTCAGTGAAATTTATTGTAGGTTGAAAAATTCAGCATTCACCTGTTTAGTGTACAAAAAGGACACTAGCTCTTTTAAGAAAATATTAGGAAAACTGAAGACACGGGTGCCTCTCAATGGTAACATTTTGGCAAAAGTGAAAAGTTCTTGTAAACACCAACTCCATGGCTCAAAGTGGCTTTTCTCCGCAGTAGGAAGTGGGGGAGAGAACAGTATCAATAAGTTAGACCCTATTTAATCGGCCAGGACTGTTGTCCGCCAACCCCTGAAGCACAAAACTTCTCTGAGCTTCATCATTCCTTGAAAGGAGGGGAAAAAAACAACAAACCAAAAAACCAACAAAAGGTAAATTCAACTGAGATTTCTAGGAGCTGGTTCCCAGGAGCGCCCAAGGGGCAGCAAAACTCTCCAATCGCCCAGCCATCTCTCCAAAGAGAAAGCACACGGGGGTCTGCATTTCCGCAGGGGCCAGGGATCCCGCAGGAAGGGGCTTTGGAGGGGCGGGAACACCCCGCCGGCGCCTCCCTCGCCACCAGCGTGGCCACATTCCAGCGCCCTAGCCCCGCCCCGGCAGGCCCCGCCCCCGGCAGTGGCGAGGACGGCCCACACAGGACAGGACCAGACCCCACCGCGTGGCTCAGCGGGGTCCCCATGGAACGCCATCGCACGGCCCCCGCGGGGTTAGGGGCACTAGGCACAGCAACAAAGCAGCAATTGTGGGGCCCGCGAAGCCGCGCTCCCAGCCCCTCCCTGAGTGCGGACCCCCCGGGGCCCCTCGGAGGGTTTCAGCCCCTAGAGGACAAACAGAAGCAGCAGCAGCAGCAAAAAAAGGGGGGGGGGAAGCATGGAGAAGTCAACACAGCCACCTGGTGCGGCACTCTGCACCGTCCTCTTGCCGGCAGCTGGGCACCCGGAATAGGCCAGCTTGGGGACACTGGCGTGGCACCTCCAGGGCCAACTGGGCCCCACCGGCCCTAAGCCCTGCAGCTGCTCCGTGTCAGCTGGGCCTCCTGAAATAGCTGCCCCGCCCACCCCCAAAGACGCTGCGCAGGTGGGGTGAGGCAGTCTCTGCTGGCCAGAGATGATCTCGCAGTGGGTCTGGTGGGGTGTCCTTGTGTACGGTGGCCCTGGGCCAAGCTCCTCAGAAACGTGCACCCCAACACCTACTCGGAGCCCTCAGAGCAGCACTTGTCGGGGAGGTGGTAACACTGCAGAAGGGACCCCAGGCCCCGGGCCGTGGCGGTGGGAGGCACAGGTGTAGAAAAAGGGCTTTTCGTATAAAAATAGATGAGTCTCCTCGCAGTAGCTAAAAGTGGCTGTCCATATAAAACTAGAAAAGGTACACAGCTCATCTCCGGCCACAGGCAGCATGGAGGGGCCCATTTCTTCAGGACCCCAGTGTCCCATCGTGGCTTCAGAAATGCATGTGTCCTTGTATTTATTATTTAAATAAATCCTCTTCCCCACTTTTTGTCCCCCAGGTCCCACTGTCCACAGGGTCCGTACAGTGGGGAGGTGGGTGCATGAGGCTGGTAATGAGGCCACTGGTCCCTGGACGGCACCCGCCGCCCAGCACCTTGGGCTAGTGCCAGGCGGGCAACTGCCGCTGGTCATACTCAGCGATGAGCCGCTTGATGTGGGCCAGCTTGCTGTGGAGGTACTCACACCGCTGCTTCTCTTGGCTATAGTTGGTGTTGGTCTGCAGGAGACAGGAGTAGAGGGTTTGTGATCTCAGAGACCAGAGCCAACACCGTCTGATGATGGGGTGACAGAAGCATCTCAGAGGAGGGAGCTGGGCCTTGACCCTAGGTAACCCCACCAGGTCTGAAGGTATAGAGTAGGCCAAGGGACAGGACAGGCCCTCAGCGAAAAACCCTTTGCCATGTGGACATGATCTAGATGCAATAAGGACCATCAGGGCACAAGAGGGGAAACCCAGAACTCAGTTCTTTCCCTCAGCAGGCATACCTTTTTGATTTTTCGATACTCCTGCAAAATTTGTCCACGTGTGGTCTGGAGGGAGGAGAGAGAGAATGAGTCACCTGCCTGACAGACCCTCCCTATGTGCCCAGCAGAGTGTGGCGGGCCAGGAGCTCCCACAGCAGGCTGTGGTTGGGGAAGAGGCCAGGGCAGGAGGCTATGGGCAGTGAGGGGGGACAGCAGCATTGGGGAGGTGCCTGACCTCGTATTCCGCAGAGCCCTGGGAGAGCTGCCGGAGCTGGGCGTCAAGCTGCGTGAAGCGCCGGGTGATTCGTTCGATGCGGGCGTGCAGGTCTCGGTACTCGCTGTACTCAGCATTGAAGTCATTCTTGTAGCTCTGCCGCTGCTCTGAGGAGGAGATGGCTGCGTACTTCCTGGGGGAAGAGAGTGAGAGCTCAGTCCAGGGGTCTGGATCTCACCTCCAGTGTATGTTGGAGGGTGATTCTCTGGGAGGTGCAGGGGCCTGGTCAGGAGCCAGCATGAACACATTCTGTTGTCAGTGTGTCTCTGGCACTCACTCACAGGCCAGCCTGTCCACCAAAGCACCCTGGCAGCAGATGTGAAAAGGGACAGCCTCATCATACTCACAGAAAGTAGTCAGGTGTGTCCGAGGTTGAGGTGGGGACACTGGTACTGTGACAAGTACCGTTCAACCCTGTGAGGAAAAGATGTGCTGTCATGAGGCCTCATGGGCTGAGGATCCCACAGTGAAAAGCTAGTTTCAGGAGAAGCCCCACGAAGAGGAGGAGGAAGGGAAAGCAGACCACAGCCTGAGGCACGGGTGCAGCTGCAAAGCCACAAGGGACAGGCAGTGGGGCCAAGTGGGAAGGTGGGCCTCGCTGCACTACTGAGCATGCTGGGAGGGGAGTGGGCGGAGAGCAGATGGCCTGCACCACACCAGTGCAGGGGCATCTGGCCTCTGACAGGACCCACACAGCCCAGGAAGAGTGGCTCCAACAACAGCACCACTCCCTCTCGGGTTCCTAGCAAGCCCAATGCTGCTATGGTCACCTGACACTTGAGCAGAGCTCAGGCCAAGAGGAGGTTACATCACATGTCACTTTTTTAACCCTTTGTGGTCTCTAGGTACGTTCAGCAAATGAGGAAACTGAGGCATAGGCTCTAGAGTGATGCTGGTCCCCAGCCCTGCCTGAGTGGTCTGACCCATGGCTCATCTGAAGCCACCACGCCCCAGCAGTCTGTTCTCCACTACCTCTTATCTCCAAGGCCAGGGGTCTCTAGGACATCAGGAACATATGTGCATGTTCTCCCCCAGCCCACTATCCCTATGGACCCTTGATCCCCACCCTCCCTGCAGCCCTGCCATTTCCTGACTCCTCCTCGGGCCCCTGCCTGGCATGCCTAGCATGTACAGGTGACCATGAGCTGTCACCACCCAGCAGGCCAAGGGACCCATAGCCAGGCTGGGCTCTTCCCTCCGCTCTGCTCCCTGTGGCCACCACCCCCTCCCAGTCCCACTGGCCTCCTCAAGGCCTCAGCCACATGTAGCACGGTAGGGCCTTAAGTCTCCTCCTCTAGTTTGTGTCATTCGCCCACACGCCCTGTTCTAGGCACCCCAAACCTCCAGCAGGAAGCATTCGGGCCCTGCATGTGGCTGGGGCTTAAGGGAGAGCTGGATACAGACATGGGGTGGAGCGTGGTGGGCCGGCCTGAAACTCCCATATCACCCCCATTTCTACCTGGGGCTTCCGGTGAGGCTCCGAGGGTGCTTCCTGAGCTCTCTGCAGGTTCCCCATCAGGCTGTGAACCCTGCTGCTGGTCCTGGGGGCCCCGCTCCTTATCCCGATGCTTCTTGGACTTCTTCTTGGCTTTGCTGTGGGGCCTGCTGGGCCGGGTGCAGTCCGGGGATGAGGGTGGGTGTAGGCGCTCGGTGGGACCTGGGCCACTTGTCTCAGGGGGTTCTGGATCTCGGCCACTATGGCCTAAGTCGTTACTGACATCGGCCAGTGGATCGTGGGGCCGTGGGGGCTCGGGCAGTGGGAGAAGCGGGGTGTGGCGGTCATGAGGGGTGCTCAATTTCCCATTGACGGTAGGCTGACTGCGTTGGGCAAAGTGTGAGATCCGGGGCTTCTTGTTTGAGAGGGGGTCGATGAAATCAGGGAGCTGTGGCCGCTTCTGTGGAGGAAGGGGGTGAGGGTGTCATGGGGCAACCTGGGTCTCAGCAGTGTGTGGGGTGGGAACAAGCCTTGTTCCAGTTCCCAGACCCTGGGAAAGCCAGTGCATGCTGCAGGGCTCACTACAGCCACACGGTGGCGCCCAAACACCGGCCCAATAGACGCCTGCAGCCAGAAGAGAGCGGTAACGGGCTTCAGGGAGAGCTGCGCCCCCTGGGGGCCTGCTGTGTACTTTGCTGCTGTGCTCAGCATCTTTCCTGCAGAAGGTGGACAGCTGACCTCACAGGGTCAAGGAGCTGAGGGACACATGCTACTTAGAACCTTCTGGACCTCCACGTTCACTACTCAGACTACTAGATCAATACCAGGACAAGCTCGAGGTCATCAAGGGCTTTAATAGAATTAGTGACCAGTGTCCCTGGCCTGGGCCTAGACACAGGTCTACCATGAGGAACCTGTGACAGCGGCTGAGAAGGCACTGAGCACCTGTTGACACCCTTCCTGTGTCCTGCCATGCTACTCTGCCAATAACTTACTGTTGGCAAGCCAGAACCAACTCACAGCTGACTCTCCAGCGGTTTTCGGGGCTATAAATCAATCCCACTGGAGAAGAGTACACATCTTTCTCCCCTGTAGAAGTTTCTAGACTTGAACCACTTGCCTTTCGGTTTGCAGCCAACTCCTTACCCACAAGGCCACCAGAGTGCCCTGCTATTCTAGCAGGTGGCTCTCAAGTGCTGGAAAGTTCGTCAGTGAAAACACATTGGGCTTGTAAGAGGAGGCCAAGATAGCAAAAGTCAGAAGCTAGAGGCAATGTGGGGGCTCAGAGGCCCCCTCTCCTGTCCCCCACCTGCTCCAGGCCCACTGGCTCCCATGTGAGACCCTTCAAGGAACAGTCATGAGTTCCTCTTCAGTTCAGTTCTACCTGTGGCAATGAGGTGGCATTCCCATGCTCCCCTGGAGGGCTGGCGGCAGGATCCCCGGGAAAGGTACTGGTGCCCTGTGGTTGGCACAGCTTCCTGGGGAAGAAGAAATGGTTTGGGGGTAGCAGGTGCAGGGGACCATCCCCTGAGCCCACCTCTCCCCACAGCAAACTGCACAGCACAGATGGTAAGGCCCAGAGTGACATTACCCTGGAGTTGGCCTCGCTGGGCAGGTCCTCAGACACTGACCCTAACTCCCAGAAATTTCTTCTGTCCTGACACTAATGCTGGTTGGACAACTGCCAGAACACTGCTGCAAGGCACAGTTCGTCCTGCAGTCTGCACTGGAGACAGCCGGTTAGCCTAGAACCTCAAGGGCAGTAATGCCACCCGAAGAGAAGGGCAGAGTCGTATCTGTCACAGAAGACAGGTAATAAGGTTGAGGACCACACCTGGGGGAGGACACACAGGAGCTGGGGCTTAGCAGAGTCCTCTAAAGGGGAAGCACCAGGGAAATCCTGGGGCAGCCTCTGTCACCAAGGACAGAGACCTGGAAGAAAAGACAGCATGCAAGCAGAACGGCATCCTTCAAGGGGAGAGAGAACTTGGCTAAGCAAACAAAAGCACCACCCTTAGTGTGAGCAAAAGGCAAAAGACTGGGAAAAACCTTTCTCCAAAGATGATGTGCAAATATCCATCAAGCACACAGCAAGATTCTCCTCAATCATTAAAACCAAAAACTGGATGACTACTAGATTGTGGTCTCCCGCTACCACCACTGAATATTCTGACTAGAAACACAACACAGACGTTCTTATTAAAAAACGGCAGAAATGTGGACTAGAACTTGATGTTTTCAATGAATCCAGACTCACCTGCTGAGTCTGGAAGAGTCCCCGAAACCATGCATGGCTTTGAGTTACTCTTCAAACCCTGAAATAAAGCTATTCTCTGAAGTTACCTTATCCCAAACAGTAAAGATTACTATTAATCTATTAATGATTTTCATTTGAAGTAGCACAGTACTTAACCACGACAATCTTTACTTACTATTGTGCTACTTAAAAGAACTATAGAACTAAAGGGTCAACAGTTAGTTTAAAATATCAAAAAGAAGGTGGCGGCCCAGGGAGATGAAGTGAATGGAACAGAAGCAGTGTCACTGATCATTATGCCTAGAAACTAAGGTAAAAATGGGTTTTATATATTTTCACAACAAAAAAATAAAAGCAGTTGTCAGTCAACTTGACTCATGGGGACTCGACCTGGGTCAGTGTAACTGCTCCACAGACTTTTCAACGGCGGATTTCCCAAAATTAGATGATTGGGCCTTTTTTCCAAGCACTCAGGTGGATTCAAACATCTAACTTTTTGGTTAGAGGCTGAGCCGAGCACATTTAATAATGGGCTCATTAGTGCTGCATGAATCATCTAGGAAATGCAAATAAAACCACAGTGAGCTAATAGCTGACCTCCAAGGGGTGGACCACAGCCAGGAAAACAATCACAGGTGGTGACGAGGACGTGGAGAAAGTGAAACCCTGGTGCCCACGGCTGGTGGGAAGGAACCACGGTGCAGCCTCTGTGAAAAGTAGCCTGGCAATTCCTCAAACTATTACACACAAAGTTATCACGTAACCTAGGCAGAGCCCCAAGAGGAATGAAAATGTAAGTCCACAAAGATGTCCATGAGCATTCACTGCAGCAAATTCACAGACTTCAAAAGAGGGCAACAATCCGTGTCCAAGTCTCCAATGGACACGACGTGCCCATCCACTCCACGGAACAGTATTCAACTCTCATGTGTGAACCTTGAAAAGATCAAGCTGAGTGAGAAAAGCCAGAAACAAAGCCATGCAGCATCTAAACCACTTCTATGAAAAACCAGGACAAACCCCTAGAGACACAAAGCAGATTAGGAATTCCCAGGGGCTGGAGAGAAGAAATAGAGTGACTGCTGGTAAGGGATCTCCTTTTGGGGCGATGAGAACGCTCTGGAACTAAACAGAGGTGGCAGCTGGACAACACTGTGAATGAACTCAATACCACTTCAGATGAGTGAACTGTGTGGTTTGTGAATTACGTCAATAAAGTTTACTGTTTTTCACAATGTCCTTAAAATGAGGTGAACAATGTCACTGAATTGGTCTGTAGTGCAGTAATTCTCAACAACAAAATAAAACTGGAACGAGAAGAAAGCAAACGAAAAGCAATATCCCTTTGTGAGATGAGAACCCCACCACTGCCGTGCACACAACAGCAGGAGGGGCTTCCACCCTCAGAGGGATGCTGAAGAGCCATGTCTCCCCAAGACAGAGGGCAAGTCAGGGTCCTGTCTTTAATTCTGCACATAATCAATCATGCAGCTATGAAGACCTTGTACCTCTGAGCTCTCCTCTGGGGTCCGCTCTCCCCTCAACCTTCCCTGGGACCCGCACTGGACTGTGCTCAGGATGCAAGTGCCGATTCAGTAGTTGAATCTGAGAAACCCTAACACAGCTCCCAACACTGAGAAATCACTTAAGGCCTAATGAGTACGTCTGCTTCTCCTAGTGGCTCCTCCAACCCAGGCTGGCTCAAAAGAAAGATGCTAATTGCTTGGGCCCCCTTCCAACTTCTCCGAAGAGCCATGGACGCCCCACTTCACGTCCCAGAGCACCAGGTACATGGTCAGTTAGCGTGGCGCAGTGCTGCCTTGGAGTGCTGTTCTCCCTCACCTCCACGTATCCCTGGAGCACGCAGGCAGGAGCACCAGAAAGGGCCCGAGTCTCAGGTACAGGTTCAGAGAGGAGGGTTGAAGGGGGGTGACAGTGAAGGGAGGCCCAAGAGACCTGTGGACGCTGCCTTAGCCGCTGCTGCCTCCCCAGCCCATGCTCACACTTGACAACAGATCCAAGCCTGGATCAGGAGGGGCCTTGGGAGGCCACTCAGACACCATGGGAGAGCCTCCCTAGTGCCCCAAGGGTCATCTCTGGGGTACCCTCAGAATAAGGGAGAACTCTTGGGGTTAGTGGTAAGGAGGTCCTGGGGCCAGGGTGGTCAGGGTCAGTACCTGACGAGCATGCGCTGGAGCAGTTGCCGGTCACCCTCCGAGTAGCCGGGCCAGTCCCGCTGCACGTCCTTGTACATGGCGTCCTTGAGTGTGCACGTGCCATCCTTGGTGTTCGTGTTGGCTACCTATAACAGGCCAGGATGCCACTTTCAACCAGGGACGGGGCGAGAGGAGGTGGAGGCCGAAACGGAAGAGGAGAGGTTGCACCCTGCCTTGAGGCTGGTCCCCTCGCATGTGTCAGCCCTATCCTCAGGTCTTACACACTGGTTGTCAGGAGCCCAGGCCAGTGGCCAGGAGGGATCACCATCTCCATGTGAAACTGTCATCTCATCTGCTCTTCCTCCCATTCTGGTCCTGAGGCAGAACTAGCAATGGGCACGTTGGAGGCCGGTCTGAACCCATAGTCACACTGTCACCCCAACCGGGTCCATGCTCACCTAGAGCAGGGCAGTAAGCAGGCGCCATGGCCAGTGTAGAGGATGTGACTGCCTGCACTGAAAGGCTGCAGTGAGCCAGGAGTCCACGGGGTGGCCACGAGGCCCCAGGTGCCCACTGTGCACCTTGCAGCAGCATTTTCCACAATCATTCCATTCTGAGGACAGCACCCCCAACCAGCTGCTTCCCCCAGGAATGTCTTCAAAGGCCAAGCACGACCCACCGCATGCTTGCTGCCCTCCTCCTGGGGGTGCACTGCGGTCCCAGCATCCCTGTACTGGGGAGGTGCTGTGCAGCAGGACGGTGCCCGAGGGAAGCACAGGGGGCCAAGACGTAACAGCCGGCAACCGTGGTGTGCTCTGCCAGCGCTCCCGGCAGAGCCGCACACTCAGCACGCTCAGGCAAGCACGCCTCCTGGCCTGTGTGCGTTTCATGCTCAGCCGGACGCTCTGGAAGAGGAGCCTGGTCTATACAGGGCCAGAAACCTGGGCAGGCTACCCGCTCTGCCCTGCATGATGGAGTCCTGTCACCCCACCAGGGCCAGCAGGAACAGAGGGGACAGGCAGGGAGCCTAGCAGCGTGAGCAGGTGCTGCTACCTCCCAGAAAGCTGTGCCCATTCAGCTATCACCAATGCCCGGTGTCCAGGACATTACGAAGCCAGCTCCAGTAAGTCAGAGGGCTGGTCTCTACCGCACACGGCTGCTAGGGACATACACATGGGTGCACAGGCGCCTCTCCTCTTCAGGAACAAAGGGGAAGAGCACAGCTGGAGAGCGCAGGTGGCCTGTTTGTGCTGGAACATCAGTGCGAGCCCTTCGGCATCTCTGGGTACCAGTCCCCCCTCTGCCTCACAGTGGTCCCTGGAGCTCCTAGGATGGACCAGCACGGCCCCCACAGGACACAGCCATGATGTCTCGATGGGCCTGCCACTTTCAAGATGCTCTGCATGGCCTCTGAGAGCACCATGTGTCATGGAGCCACATGAGTATCTTATCACCCACCCTCACCTCCAGGAGAAATAGCCGCTCTGGGTCAGATACTGGGGCCCTGCCCCTTGTTCTCCACCTGGAGGACACTGGGCTCAGCCCAAACACCACACACAGGTAGAGGAGGCTCAGCCACAGCTGCAAGGCCGCTGTTTTCAATGCCCGAAGCCCCAACAGAGGTGGGTGTCCTCAGCCTGGGCCAGTACCTAAGGGGTATCCCATACCACGTCCTAACAGCGCCTTTGTAACAGCATTCGTGTAACAGTGTGTCATCTTGCTGACATACTGGCGTATAAGTTCATTCGCACAGTGGTGTCCGTGTAACAGGCTGTGCCTGTGTGCCAGTGTGGGCTTTCTGCTACAGGAAGCATCACCGTGCACCCAGACTCTGGGAGGTCAGGTCCTGGGCAGCACTGTGTCTGAATATTTGCCTGTACTACAGAGATCACTGAATCTGTCCCAAATGGAAACCTGAGGGTGTTAAGACGTGGCACATCCCCCAACTCCTGCATCCACATCAGAGTCTGGCTTGGAGGTTTAGCACGCACCCTGTCAAGCACTGCCAAGCTCCTGCTAGGTGGCCGGCCAATGCAGTGGTGGCTGTGATGCAGGCACCGCATCCCAGCAGACAGGCCCCAGGAAGGACCCCACACGCTACCCGCAGTCTTCCTCAATAGCCCTTTATCCTGTCCCGTGAGCCTTCATGCACAGGCTTGAGAGGGCCACCCAGTGAGTGTCTGTCCCATGTCCCCCACACCTGCTGGAGGAGGCCATCCAGGGAGTCCTTGTCCGGCTGCGCCAGGCCATCCCTCTGCAGCCGCAGCAGCAGCTCGGCCTTCCTGTAGGGCCTGAGTGCCAGGAGGTGCAGCACCCGGTCACGGAAGGGCCGCTGGGACACCCCTCCGCCAGCGCTCCCAGCATTGCTCTTTTTGAGGGCGCTGGCTGGATTGATGGGGGTGGCCCGCTTCCGGGAGGGCACAGCATCTGTGGCCCCTGGGGCAGGCTTCCGGAAATGAACCTTTTTGCCTGAAATGAGAGTCAGCGTTAGGTCAGGGGCAGGAGGCAGGCATCATCCGGGCCCAGGGCCTGGCAGCGGGAGCACTGAGTGGGAAGCCTGGGGTGAGGGTGCTGTCTTCTGACGGAAAGTGCACACTCAGCAAGTAGTAGCTGCCATAAAAGTGCCTGAAGTGAAGTCATGTAAGTGACACAAGACATGTATGATGTATGTGTGACTTGACAGGCTTAGGGGCCCAAATGGCTCTGCCATGGTGGTCTAAGTCCCAGCCCTCAAACACCCAGCTCTAAGGGGTGATGGGGGAAGGGGTCTTTGCCTTGGTGCCTTTCTACTCTCTGAATCCATAAGCAGATGACAAATTTCTGGACTTTATATGACCTTTAAAAAAGAAAAAAAGGTGTCTTTGACCTACAAGAAAAACAGGCTCCACAGCAATGAAAGAATGGAAATCCAAAATCTCTGTAAATGCTGATTAAAATTATAAAAAAAAAAAGCTTAAAAAAAAAGAAAAACAGGCTCCAAAGCAAGGGTACTGCCCCACCCCACCCACCCTTTTCAGTGTCACAGAACATCAAGGGGGCTCAGAGTTGCTCTCAGGATCCTGGGGTACAGCCTGCCTTCCCCAGCAGCCCAGTACAGATGTCTGCAGACGTGGGAACCTGGAGCATGTGGCTCCAACATGGATATAACGAGAGTTAACAGTCTGCTCAGGAAACCCCCGAGATCTCTCTCACCACCCCAGTCCTTCCGGAACAGCATCCTACACCCCTCAGAGGCCCTTCCTCTTTGCCAAAGCCCAGCCAGCTCCCCACTCAGGTCCACCTGGTGGTGAGAGATGGCTCCTCACACCTCCATACCCCCCCACACACACATATACACACTGTGCCACACCTGGACGCTGTATTTCTTAGCTTCATGGAAATTATTTCCAAATAATGGAGTCCCAAAGCCTCTCCAAGGGGCAGGGGACTGACACCCCGCCCAGCCCACCCACCCCCAGGAAGAATGGGGGTCATCAGGGAGGGCTGAGTGAAAAGCCCAAGACCAGCTCCCCACCGCTGTCCATCCAGCACTGTTCCCTGAATGTACAGGCGCCCAAGGCATGGGAGGAGGGGCTCCTGTGCAGCCACTAGCAGAGATCTTGGGACCAGTATCCCAGGGTCCAGGGGCACCTGAATGTCGTGCAGGGCGACACTCTAGGCATTCCACTCCTCCTCGGAGATCTGGCCCCGCCCTGCCTGCTCTCCTCACCCAGGTATCGGCCCCCAGGCTTGATGACGATGGCACTGCGGCTCCGAGTCTCCTCCTCGGCCTGTGCCAGGCTTTGCCGTGCCTTCTGGTAGGAGTCATCGGTGGCACACACTGTAATCTTGTCCTGGATGCTGCCCAGGCAGTCTAGGTGGACATTCCCGTGGCTGCAGGACACAGCAGAGGACAGGGAGGGAAGGTCAGGGATGCAGAGGGATTGGCCCAGCAGGGCATAGTCTCCCCTAGGAAGCAGGGAACCTGGGGGTCTGGGTCAGGGCTCTGTGCTGCCCCCTCCACCAGCTCTGATAAGGCCTACGGAGGGTCCACCCTGGAGAGGTAGGGTCAGGGCGGAGTGAGGCAAGCTAGTGCACGGTCCGGTACTGCTGCCCTCAAGGTGGGATGGGGCACGGCAGGGCACAGCGGGCAGTCTCACCTGGACTGGTATTGCTGCACACAGTCGAAGCTGCCCTGCGGGCTGTCGCGGCCAATGTTGGAGAGGTAAAAGGAGAAGGTTCGGGCCTCAGACGGGCAGTCGGGCTGAGGGACGCAGATGTGCTGCAGGTAGGGGTGGCAGAGGGAGCTGTCACCTGAGGTTTGTTATGAACTGCCCTTCCTTCACAGGAAGCACGAGGCTATCTCCCTTCAGAACACACCTCCTGTCACTGAGTGACCCTTGACACCAGGATCCTGGCTGGATTTGGAGCCTGACCTTGTCCCAGCAGGGCAGACCAATGGGGTCACACACACTGGAGCCAGGCTGCCCTCCACAAACCACAGCATTGACCATGTAAGTTAAGCCAGTCTTTCCACGATGGGACCAAGCCCACAGTCTGCCCCATGAAAAGGGTCCCTGTCATGGTCAGGTCAGTCTCATCTAAACACACACACACACACAGGTCAGTCTAATCTAAACACACACACACACACACACACACACACACACACACACACACACTCACTCACTCTCTCTCTCCCGCCACTCCCCTGCGCCCTTCTCTCTCTCATACAATCTTCAGACTCCACTCCGAGCTCCCTCTTGGCAGGCACACTGGCAGCCCTGTCGCAGGGAGCCCTATAGGTGTGATTTTGTTTCAGCAATCAGAAAGTGGACATGAATCACCCAAATGTTAAGAGTTCAGGTCTCTAACTGTTGCAGGAGAGTCCGTGTCTACACCTGCAGCTGCCTCAGGGTTCCACCTGACTCCTACATGGAATGACCATGCAGGGAGCACGAGGCCCAGAGATCCCACAGGGGCCGAAGTGAACTAGTGGCTTTCTGCACTCCTTGACCCTCTCGCTTCATCCCTGCACTTAAGGTCCAGTTCACCTGTGGCACCTTCACCCTTCCATCAGTCCAAGGACTGTGGTACCTGGGGGGTGTGGGTGGCAGAAAAGAGTAGGGGTGAGGTGTCACTGTGACCTTTTTATTATCCTGTGAGCACTTTCATCAGTCTGTGTGTGACAGCCCTCTGAGTATCAGTTGCTGGTCTCCCCTAGGTTATGGGGGATGAGGTTAAGAGTCACAACAGCAGTAAGTACACTCATTGTGGATGTACATCTGGCTGGTTCTGGATACCTGGCCTAGCAAGTGTGACCTGGGAGTCCATGATGTCACAATGGAGCCCTGGCCCACCAGTCACCAGCATCCAACTCCAGTCAGGGCTTTCAAGCTCCTTTAAAACTAGCTTCAAGCAGTCCGACCACCCTCCTTGGGGGCTCATGACACAGGTGGGGGAGTGAATGAGACGGGATGAAAGTGTAGGGGGAGCAGGGGTCATGGGTCCAGCTGAAAACATCACAGGAGGCACCTATTCACTTGTGACAGGGTGATTTTCACGTAGTTTGTTTATTTCTATTTCCCAATAATCTTCCAGAAAATTTAAACATACCCTTCCTAAGGAACACCGTTAGGATATTCGTAAATGTCATCTCCAAAAGCGAAACTCTGTCCTCCTCCTGCTCCTCCTCCTTCAGTACCCAAACGTGGACCGGGTCAGCATTCCTAGGCCTAAAACTTGGCTGCCCTCCTTCTCCACCCCAGGCTCCAAGTCCCCGCCCTGGAGGCTCTTTCTGGTCATCTCCAATGTCTCTGCTCCAAACAGCACAGGTACAAGGGGATGTGCACTTCTCTGGGCTCGAAATGCACCTAGCCAGCAGAGGGTCTATGGTTAAGGTTACCCAAGAGGCAGCAGAAGTGAGCCCAACATGCCCTCTGAATCACTGTTGCCAAGGCTGGAGACACTGTGGAGGACTTGGCACCTCTGCCTGCTCTGACCTCGGCCTCAGTCTGACCCTCACCGGCTCAGACCCGTCATCCTGGCTCCTCCCTGTCATTCACTGACTGTGTCCATCCCTGATCTCTCCATTTGCTGGGGTGCGCTCTGCTCGTGGGCCATGCAGCCTGATCCCTACCACAGCTGAATGTGGGTAGAGCTTGTTTGGCATCGCGTCAGGTTCAGTCCCGACTTCCTAAGAGCCCCGGTCCTGTACCAGGAGCATCTGCAGTCACCACAGGCAGACAGGGCTGTGCCTTCACCCTCTGCAAGCCCAGTGGGACCTATGACCAAGCACAGGCTCCTCCCCGCTAGCCTCCCGGTGGCTGCTTACATCAGTCTCCAGCCAGCACTGTGGCCCTAGGTCTGGCCAGCAGCAGCTACAGGTCAAACAGGGCTTCAAGGGCCCACAGCCCCCATGGGACCCTAAGAGTGGCCCTTACTGCCCCACCAGGCCCAGGCCCCCTCTCAGAACTGCTGACCCGAAAGGCAGGGGAGTGACTCTGTATGTATATGGAGCTGAAAGCCCACCCCTGCCCCACTCCTCTCCCTGGCAGGACTACCCTGCAGCCTGGCCTAGTGGTGCCAAGTGCACCCATTTGTTCCCAGGCACCCACAGAGCAGTGGGCAGTGCTGAGACTCTCCTTGACCCCCGGCCCCGGGACAGTGCTGGCATTGTACAACCCACTCGTGTGCCCAGAACAGAGAGTGTGACCATGCCCAGGTACAATCATGGAGGACTCACCCCCTGGTTTCCCTGGAAGCGGATCGATGGCCTCAGTGAGATGGAGTCCTAGAAAAAAAGTAAAGGAGCGTCAATGTGGACTCAGGGACCATGGGGTCAGGGTGAGAGGCGTATCTCTCCAGGGCATACAGAAGGGAGGCTGCCCTGGGGTCCAACAGCCCCTTGGGGCTGCAGCCAAGGAGTGGGTGCCAGAGGCAGAGATTCTGACACTGTGGGCAACACAGTCATGGATGCCATCAGATACCGTCAGGAGGATGGCAGGCAACACAGATGTGCACTTGATTTTTTCCTGCCCTCAGCATCACGTTTCAGAGGTCTGTCTGAGAAGTAACAGGTGTTGGAACTCTGTTTCTCTTGGTGGTCAAGTCAGAGCCTGTGCATACAGGCGGCCCATACTGTGTTATGCCTCACTTGTGGGCAGACATCGGGCCATTCCCCCCACAGACATGTACGGGGGCCTGCGCAGGGCTCACATCTGCACAGCCCCATTTAAGCACACGAGCTGCCGCAAGTGACACTGCTCATTATTTTTAATGCAACAGCAGAATGTAAATGAGAGGGGACCGCAGACACACAGCACAGAAATGAAAAGACAAGGCTGTCCTTGAGGGCTTGGCTGTGACATGGGTAGCCCCCCTATACAAAGCCAGACCACAGCACAGCCAGCTCTATGTCACTCTAGCCCCGAGTGTCATCTATATTTGGCCAAGGGCAATGACAGGACTGAAGTTCAACGAAGTCCCCCCAGGGGGCCCTGTAAGCACAGGTTCTAGTAACAAAGATGTCACCTGACCCTCTAGGTGCCAAGAAGCCAGGATAGGGCAGCTGTGGTATTGGGGAGAAGCAGAGTTCTGGAAGGACCTCATCAGTGAGACTAAATTCCTGCCACACGGGGCACCCAAATCCCTACACCCCTTCATACTTTCACATTCCCCCAGGAGAGCCCAAGAACTCAGTTCCTAGAAGAACATCAGACAGCTGGGAGCACTCTGGGGCCAAGTGGGCATGAGGGAAGAAGTCCCGGCCCCACTGGGAAGCCCTGGCCGCCAGTTGCCTGGCAGGTCTCCCACCCTTTCCAGTAAAGCCCACGCAATTGAGAAACGCCTTTCTGGAACCCTCCCCGGACTCCCTGGAATGCTTCCCACAGGGCGTGAGGCTGTGAAGAGTTCAGACAAGCCATCCACGAACGGCAGGGAGGAGGAGACCTAGGATCGACATGTGAAAACTTTGCCTGGGACAAAGGTGCAGACCCCCAAGGTCCCACCCAAGAGGGTGGCACACACTCAAAGAAAGGTCTGGGCCATGCCAGAAGAAGGGACACCAGGTCCTGTCTGAGACAAGGTGAAGGACAAGAGGATAGGGTCCTTTCAGTAGGCATAGAAAACACGACTGGGTCACTGTCATAGCAGCGTGTCCCCCAATTCTGGTCAGGAACAGGTAAGGAGGCTACTGTGAGCTGAAGGATGATGCCGTGATGCAAGCCAAGGGTCACAAAAACACAAAACAGCTGAGACTTCCGCCCGGGTGCCCACACAAGTCCCGTCCGTTCAGTTGGCTAGCAAAAGACCCTCAGCAGTGTGAACCCACCTATCAGCATTCCTTCCTCAAGCACTCTGGACTATGTTCTGTCCCTGTGGTTTGTCTTTTCCAGGAAGTCATTTCAGAAGAATTATGTTACATCCATTTCCTGTAGCTGCTATGAAAAATCACCATACACCGGGTGCCTCTAGCCAGTAGACTGTAGCCCCTCACGGTCTGAATTCAGGAGGTCTGCTGGACCACACTTCCCCACGGCTCCAGGGAGGATCCGTTCCTCATTTCTCTCAGCTTCTGGTGGCTCCAGGCAGTTCTGAGCTTTGGTCACACCTCTGCCTCTGTCACTACATGGCCATCTTCCTCTGGGTCTCTGAGACCTCCCTCCCGTGAGAACACTGTAATGACACCAAGTCCATCCAGAGAGCCCAAGACCCTCTCCCCTTCTCAACACCCTTCGTTATATCCCATCCACATCAGGTTACCCACTCATGGGGTCTAAGGTCCAGGACCAGCCATTTTTGAGATGTGGATTCAGCCAAACACACATTCTGCGTATACTTGAGGGTCCTGCATGTTGCTGGTTAGAGGACCAGCGCTCATTCCTCTTTAGTGTTCATCACCCTAGAAAACCAAAGCAAGCCTACTGCCACTGAACCAATCCAGATTCCTGGCGACCTTGCATGTTACAGAGCAGAACTGTCACTCAGGAGATTTCTGGGCAATAATCTTTATGCAGGCAGACTGCCAGCTCTTTCTCCTGTGAGCCTATTGGGTGAGTTCAAATCTTCAACTTTTCCATTCACAGTTCATTACAAACTGCTCGCAAAACATGACCTCCTATCCATCATTTGCCAACGGGAGAAAGATGGACTGCTTCCCCCTTAGGGCACCAGTGAACAGAGCTCCTGGAAACAAACACTTCCAGGCTGTCGTATGGACATGTGTTGCCATGCCATTTGGGTTAACACTCGGGAGTAGACTGCGGGGTCATGGACACTCAGGTGTTTGATGTAAGATTATAATTAGGCACAGGGCCAGGTCGCACTGAAGGGCTGAGTCAGAGGCGACTCAAGAGCAACCAACAAGAACATGTGGGGAAGAAACTACAGAATCAAAGATCCAACTGCGATGAGGTTGAATGAGGGCTCTGGCCACCCACCTCCACACCAGCGAGAGGTGGCATCTCACAATGGTCCCTGAGACTGAGTGTGAGAGCATCTTCTCAGTGCAAATTGTCTTTGTGTGCCTCTGGCAAGGCTGTGTGTTCAAATGTCATAGCCATTTGCAAAAGCGAAACTGCTGGGCATCTCACTGTTGCATCTTCCATGTTGGGGTTTTTTAAAATTTCTTTTTATTACTGTGTGTGTGTGTACTGTCAAATCGGATCTAACTGATTCAGGAGGAGATTGTCCCTTCTTCCGCAGCAGAGCACCTGCTGGTTCCATGTTCTTTCTATACATGACCCAGTGAGCTGTTCAAAGGCCATGGCTCTCTCCCAGGCTGTGGCCGGTCTTTCCGCTCACTCCTCTGAAGAGCAGAAATTCTTAACTATGATGACATGGATTTTCTCCATTTGTTCCTATGGAGCTTGCTCTGTGTCACAGAGCTAAGCCTTCTTTTTTTAGTAAGTCTATTTTATGGAACTCTCCTGAATCGTCATTCTTCCTCACCCTCCTCCCCCAAACAGAAGTTCCAGGACTGCAGCTGAGGCAGGACTGCGGGCCTGCACGTGCCTGGAATGCCAGCCCGGATCAGCCTGCCCTCCCAAGCCCACCACACACCTGACCCTCAGCCTGCCATCTCCTCTGAGGACACTTGTGGACCATTATATAGAGACACTGAACAGGCGGGAAGTTCAAAAGCACGTGTTTGTGGAGCAGTGACAATCTGGCCTGAACTCTGGGGGGGGGGGGAGTGTGGCTGGGGGGCGGGGGGTGTCCACCTAGCCAGAGAGAACTGTACCTCTAGCCAAAAGGAGGGGAAGAAGCATCTTTAGGAGCTTCCAGCATGCTCTCTATGAACAACAGTCCATCCTGATGTCGGCTGGGAGAGGTCACCTCCATTACTGGAGCCAACTTAGGGACCTGCACCCCTGGATACCATGTAACCTCATGGGAGTCACAGGTACCAGGCAGATGTGTAGGTCTGCCCTGAACCCCAGACCTTGTCCCCCCACCCCCATGACAGAAACAGGAGGCCCACACCCTTCTGGGTCCTGGGAAGACTCAAAGGCATCAAGTAAATTAGGGCCTCTGATGGGGCCTGTGGTGGGTACACAGTCTGTGAGGGAGACAGATGCCACAGAGGGACTGGTCACAGCACAGGTTGGGGGTGAGAACAGAGGTCTTCTGAGGCTATCTCAGGGACCACACAGACTATGCACGGCTCCACGTGCCAGGCCTTGAGGCTCAAAGTAGTGGGAAAACACAGCCTCAGATGCAGGACAAATGCCACTGCCCTTATGGGAAGACAGGTCCCTACAAGGCACATCAGTTTTCATTTTCACAGGGGCCTATCCAGGAAGACCACTGCTACCCACTCTCCCAGGGTAGGGGAGCTGTTTGGCGGGAATGTGAGCTACATTCCCTGCTGTCCATACATCTCAACTGTGGGTGTTGTGGCAAACACAGAGAAAAGCTCTGGGGCTGGAGATGCCACACACGAGGCAAGAGAGGTGGCAAGGAGCTGTGGGATCATGGTGCCACCCAGTGGCGGTGGAGTGGTGTGCAAAGGATAACGTCAGGACGCCTTATGCTTCACAGGACCACAGCCACGGTGTCACTGGCAAGCCCATGCAATGTCAGTGGACGTGTTTTTCCAAAGCTCCAGTTCTGTCTGGAAGCATGACCCTTATATAGGCAACAAATCCTGCCCACAGTTTCCTGGAAGTGACAGGCTCCACTGCTTTTGTTTCTAAGAAACTGTCTGGAGGTCCAGAGTCTTAGCACATGGTTCCCTGGCAGCTGGTAGAGCTGGCACCCCGACAAACAGAAGTCCACAAATACATAGGCCCCAAGCCCACACGCCCACACACCCAATGCTTGCACACGAGCCCTCCTCAGGGGACAGGGTTGGACACAATGCACGGATGCTCCTTGACACAGAACATGGGGCTGGACTCCGGGTCTGCCTGTCCACTGGGCTTCACAAAGTCCAGAGGCTCCCAGCTCCCAAACAGGATGGTTTTCTAATATACAGTGGTACAACCCCAAAACCCCCCAAAGCAGCAAACATTGCTTCCATGCTCTGGAACATCACACAGCTCGGGGTGTGGATCATGTTCAAGAAAGTCACCAGACAACCGGGCCCGGCCTGTCTGACCTACAGAGTGGAGCCAACAGCCAGCTCTGTGGGGCTGCAGCCTGTCTCAGCCCCTTATCAGGTCACATAGCATAGAGGGACCTGTCACGGCAGAGCAGGGGTTTTACACTCTCCGGATGCCAGGTATTCCTGTGCCTGCCAGCCAGGTTCCTGGACATCACTAGAGCCTAGTGGAGAGTGGCACCCTGAGT